AGAATTCATTTAACTATATTGCCAGTCCTCGAATAGCTAAAAAGATATTGCAAAGAAAGAAAAAGGAATATATGAAAAAAACTGATAGAACGGATTGAGGAACTAAAGACCAATAATGAAACAAGAAAATTTTATGGAGCGTTAGATACATTAATTGAGGCTTCCAGCCCGATGACTGTACAGACAAAAATAGAAATGTTATTGAAGGAAAGGCGAAGGCGATGGATAGGTGGGTGGGATACTTTGGTGAACTAGTAGGTTCTAGGAGAAATATGAATCAAGAGACTGACTCAAATCCCAGTTTAAGTCTACATTATTTTCCAAGAAATGATGAGAATGATCTAGAGCCACCCGATATGAAAGACTTAGAATCCATTGAAAAGCTTAAGAACAACAATACGTCTGGTGAAGATGATATTTTTGCTGAATTCTTCAAAAATGCAGGTGAAGCTGTAATAAATCAATTATATTCTCTAATCTTTGATGTCTGGGAGAAACAGAAAATGCCTAATGAATGGAGTCTAGTAAGTCCCATACACTAAAAAAAGCGATAAACTGCAGTGTGAAAATCATTGCAGTATCTCACTACTAGGGATGAGGTACAAGATATTCTCAAATATATTGTTCTGGTGTATGGCAAGGTGAAGCTGTTTCTGCCATACTGTTCAATCGAGCTTAGCATAAAGTAGTAAGCAATTTGAACATAAATGACAAAATTCTACATTCATGTAACCAGATATGTGCTTATGCAGATTAAAACTGTCCAGTAGCCCGGAATACCCGAACTCTCAAAGAGTCGTTTATTGCTTTGAATAATGGAGAGTAAAAATACAGGGCTCCAAATTAATGAAAAGAAGAAAAAAATATGAAGGTTGGATGGCCAGGGCAGACTTCTGATGTATTGACCATAGATGGATTTGATGGATGAATTTGAAAGGGTGAACAGTTTTATCAACTTGGGAGCAGAATTGAATCAGTAAACAAAGTAAACAGAAGGATTGTGGCAGCTAATAGAATACTATGCAAATATAAAAATTTTCAGATCTCCATTGCTATCACGTCACACAAAAATATGTTTATATAAGACTACTGTTAGACCAGTTCTTACTTATGGTGCTGAAACTTGGACTCTCAATGCTTTGATGAAAATAACTTAAGAATTTCCGAATGGAAAATATTAAGAAAGTTTTACGGACTGATGTTTAACAATGAGTCCAATATACTGTAATGTAAATATTACATAGTGATTTTAAATAATTGGAGTGAGGGAAGAAGAGCCAGATGTTAGCGCAGAAAGTGACCAGCCTAGGAGTAAAGAGGATCAAGGAGAACAAGTGACAAACAAGTAGTCAATGTCAGTAGAAGATTGAATAGAAGATAGTAGAAATTGAATGCAACAATACAGAGAAGTCACTGCAGAACAAGGTGAGTAAAAAATATATAGTGAATGTTCGAAAGCGTGACAAGAGTAGACTCTGACAAAATTAATGGAAATTCATAAAAATGTTATGTACTATTAATGTATGATTTTATATTTATAATTGAGGAATGTGTGTTTGTTGTCTCAACCCAATATGAGAAATAATTATTGTTTAAAAATAAATATAAATTGATTCAGAAACTGTTTTGTTTACTTTTAAAAGGAAACGTAACCTAACAACATGGCGCCCAACTAGTGTGGCTTTCAAAATAGACCTATATAGCCACGACAACTAAACGCACAATCCTCATTATTTTTCAAAGGAAGGAGATGGTCCGGGGTTGCGGTCATAAAAAGGCTAAATAGTGGTAAAACTATTTAGCCTTTTTATGACCGCAACCCCGGACCATCTCCTTCCTTTATAATGCAACGGTCAACCATTAAATATTCAATATGACTCATTATTTTTCACTTTACTTTTTTTTTAAATAAACAAAATGGCATTTAATAGTAAGGCAAAAGAAATTTTGGGAATTCCAAAGGGGTCAAAAGTTATTTTAAATGAGGAAAATTCATTAGTTAAAGATTACGAAAGTATTGCATAGGTCCAAGTAGCCGACAAACCAATTCAAATAAATGACAGTGCTAATTCAGAAGTATCGCATATTCAATCGATGTTAAAGTCAAATACTAGCTGGCATCAATGAAATAAAAAATTAATTAAAAAATAGTTTCAAAACATTTACAGCAGAAATAAAAAATGAAAACAGTAGTAGGGCCAAACAATGGGAAGAAAGATTTGAAAAGTGTACTGTTAATAATAACCAAAAATATGATACTGACATAAATGATTTAAAACAAAATCTCAGTAAAGAGATAGTATGTGTGGAAAATAATTTATCTGCAAAATTAGATAAAAAAGAAACGATATTAATAAATCAAATAAATGTATGTCAAGCAGAAAATGGTAAACGACAAACCTGAAAATGTTGAACAAAAGCAGTAAGAGGAAATATGTCAATTATGGAGGAAAATTATTAATGAAAACATAAGAACCCATTGCACCAGTCCTGTTTTAAAAAGCATAAATATAACTAAAATAGAGAAGCTTGAATTTCAAGATTTCAAGAAAAGTCATCCATTTATATTCATTTCAAAATTAAAAAATAATAATAAAGTTAAAATAAATAAGTGGAAAGATTTTTTGGAAAATTTTAATTTTGTTAAATTCCTTACATCCATAAAGAACCCTTTAGAGCATAAAAAATGGATTAGTAAATTACCCCAAATTGAAGCTACCCTTAACAGAACTTATAACACAACTGTATGACACTGAAGCAAGCAATGTTTGGGGTCAGTCCATTAAAATTCTGGGATTTATTTTTCGGTTTTGATCCAGGAGGAAAAGGTTTTGAGGCCCCGGGAAATGGAACATGACATTCCGACTCTGGCAAGTATGCAGCGGTAACCTCAAGGTAGTCGCAAGAGGTTGACAACAAAAAGGACCACTATAGGCCCACTTGCTGGACTAGTTCCCTCCCACCAGTAGCAGTGCCAAGTAATTAAGTATACTTTATCGTGTCCTCCTTGCGGATTATCTCTAAGGGTACCACTTCGGACAGTACCTCCACTGCTTTGTGAGAAACTATTCGTGAAATCCAGCAGAGCCAGTCTTTGTATAGTGGCCAGTCTTTTCTTCGGATTCTATGTGAGGCTCTGGTTCCGGGCGGCAGATGAGTACTTCATGATACCGAGCAGTGTGTCCTATCTATTTCCATTTCTTTTTCCTTATTTTGAGGTGGATAGAAAGATGCTTTGTGGTACTCCAGAGCTCTTCGTTACAGATGCTCTCAGGCTACCAGATCCCAAGGATTTTTTTGCAAGAAGCGGTTGATGATGGTTTGAAGCCTATTGTTCCTTTTTGCCAACCCCAAAGATGATACTACCAATGGTTGTCTATTGTACCTCCAACTCTGTCTCAAACCTTCTTGTTCTTCTAATGAAGTTCAAAAGGTTGTACCATTTTATGGAGGTAGGTTCGCATACTCGTATTCTGTCTGCGCCCAGTAGTCTGTATCTGAGTGATGCAAATCGGTCACATTCTGTAATGAAGTGAAGGGCAGTTTCTGTTGCGTTTCTTCAGCTTGCGTTAATTCTGCTCCTTTCCTTGCAAGGGCATCGGCTTTTTCATTGCCTTTAATTCATTTATGACCAGGAACCCACACTAGTTCCACTCTTTTAGAGCAGGCCAGTGTCTCCATAGCCTGTTCTCGGCTGAGAGGAAAAGTGGGCTGATTGTGAAGAAGATTCAGAAAAAATGAGACACATCTGAGTGTACAAACTTGTGCGGGCTCACATTGCTTTCTGTTGTGAGCCAAGTGCTGAACTGAATTATCTTCAAAAGGAACATGCTCTGAAGGTTTGATTAAGAAAGAAGCAGACAGGTTTCAGAGAGAATCATCCTGGAGCAGAGTACCGAATGGCAAAACCCACTTATACATGGCTTATATCAATTACGAAAAATTCTTCAACTCATTAAACCAGGACATCATGCAGAGAATCCTCACAAGGTATGGCATCCCTAAAAAGATAATAAACCTTGTTAGGAGCTCCTATGATGGATATGAATGCCAAGTCATCCATGAGAGACTGTTATCGAAACCAATTAGGACTGAGAAGGAGATGAAGCTAGGATGTGTGCTTTCTTCAACTCTCTACATTGTCGTTCTCGGCAGCATCATGAGAGCTGCGCTTGGGGAAAAACAGTATCCAGAGGGGTCTAAATGAAAGGCTCGAAGATCTCAACTACGCTGACGAAAACAGACTTCTTAGGCTACCAACAAATTGCAATTCCTGGTATATTTTTTAATGTTGGTATCTTTTATCCTGGTTCACTTGAATCTTTAAAAACGTTAGGGAATAGTAAAAATAAATTTATGGCTAACAACAATTTACTCAAAATAACTTTTCACTTAATCATTTCTTCTTTATACCCAGTTTTATTTGCACTTTTAAAATGAAACATCCATTCCCATAAAAAAAAATTAAAATTTGTAGTACATTTTATTTTGAAAATTGCAATAAGAGGAAACTTTATTTTAAATAAAGTATAATAGGCAGTTTCTGGCTCAAGTTTAAAAAAAATAAAAAACTCGAAGCTTCAAAAAATAAAAAATAGCAATTAAAATGAATATTTCAATATAAACCTCATGAAACACCATTAAAAAGAGAGAGAAGATAGACCCAGCAGTTGCCTTTGAATCTGCTTGATCGTTAAAGCAGATTCAACAAAATTGATGGTTCTTTCATCTCATACTAGGTTAATACCAAGTCAATTTTTAAATTTATTGGCTTCAAACTTTTGAGATGAACTAAAATTTTGTTTTTTGTTTTAGCACAGTCAAAGTATATACAAACAAACTTTCATGTTTGTTAAACTTTGGTTAACAAGAACTGGAGGATTCAGTCTGCACCAGGTTCGTATTAACGATGGACTACTGAATTCTCCATAGTTTAATTGTTAATGGTCTTATTTTGATTTTTCTAATAATTTAAAATAATTAATACTTATAAATCCTACCTATCATTAATCTGACAGTTTCAGGATTGAACGGTGTCCATGTTCCATTTGATAAAGCTGTTTGAAGTTCATTGGCAGTTATCATGCCACTTCTATCTTTATCCACACTACAAAAAAAATAAAAAATAAATAAATCAAGATAATTGATTATATACAATAATAATAAATGGCTTAGTTGATCTGAAGGTTCTATGCTGAATCAGCCAACTACCGCAATATGGTTCTGTATGGCTTTGTTCCCACTAAGCAGGATTCTTTGAAAGAACACGACTGGATACAAACTAATCACCAACGACAAAGCCACGACAGTCAGCCACAGCTGGTATATGGAAGACCTTAAACTAAATGCAAAAAACAAAGACCAATTACAAAGTATGGTTGGTACCGTTTCATCTTTTACTAGTGATATAGGCATGTCACTCAGTCTGGATAAATGTGCGGTGCTCCATGTAACCAAAGGAAAAGTGTTTAGTATGCAGAATATTCTAATCAATGAAAAATAGAACATCAAGGAGCTTGAAGACAATAAGTTATATAAATATCTGGGCATGCAACAACACCTTGAAATTGCAAGAAAAGACATGCAACAAGACGTTCTCACAAAGTTTAAAATTAGATTACGGAAAGTGCTCAAAACCCAGGTAACTGGAAAACAAAAAATTAAGGCTATAAACACCTGGACAATACCTGCTCTCAGTTATAGTTTTGGCATATTGCACTGGTCAAACACCAGTCTACAGGAGATCGACCGCCCTGTGCGAATGACTCTCATACAAGAACAGGCCCACCATCCAATATCCTCCAAAGCTCGTCAGTATTTACCTAGGAAAGAAGGAGGACATGGTTTGCTAAATATCGAAGAAGCTTGCCACAAGCAGGAAGTGGCCCTACGCCGACACTTTCTTACAAAAACAACTGAGGTTTACCTCGCAATCTCAAGGTTGGATTATGGTCTAACCGCACTTAACCTGAGCAAACGTGAGATCTCTACAATCGTGTCAGAAAATGAACGGTTGACAGAATGTTAAAGCAAATCTCTGCATGGAAGATTCTACAGCAAATTGAATGATAGCTCCATTGACAAGGAAATATCCATTGAATGGCTGAAAGCTGGAAAGATATTCTCCGAGACAGAAGGATTTCTATTCCCCATCCAAGACCAAGTTATTGGTACAAGATCATATAGAAGACATGTTCTAAAAGACGCAACAACTACGGATAAATGTTGATTATTCTCAGCGATGCTGGAATCAATCCAACATCACAGCTGGGTGTGGAGTATTAGCTGGCACCAAATATCTCCAGAGGCATAACAATGTGGCTAGAATTTTTCACCAGGCTCTGGCGGTGAAACTCAACTTATTAGATGACAAAACTCCATATTATAAGTACCACCCAAATAAACTCCTCAAAAAAGTAGTCTCAAGCTCTACTGGGATGAATCTATTATAACTGACCATACTGTGCATCACAATAAACTAGATATCCTCCTGATAGATGTGAGAGAGAAAAAAGCAGAGCTTATTGATGTTGGAATCCTCAGTGATAATAATGTAAGCTCCACTGTTGAAGAAAAACTGAGAAAATACCAGCAACTGGCAATCGAATTGAAGGAATTATATCATTTGGAGAACATCACCACCACTCCAATTATAATATCCTCCAATGGACTGATACCAAAGTCAACAGTGGCAGGCACAATGGGATTAAAATTACCTCTTGAAGTGCTGAAAGAGGCTCAACAATTAGTTCTCTTAGACACAGCAAGTATTGCTAAAAAAATAGTAAATAATCATATGAAGGTGGCTGGACTTCTGGTCTCCCACCTCAGAAACTCACTCCGCATAGCGAGAATAAAAAATGGAAATAATAATAATAATGATTAGCAAACCCGAAGGTTCGATGACGATAACACCAATCGATGTCCACCTTCTTCCATCCACTGAGCTCCGACTAAAGCCACCTCCGCCAAATCAGCCTTCACGCAATCTAACTACCTTCGCTTTGGTCTATATTTTATTTGCCTAAACTTAATCACCTCAATTATATTAACCGGATACAGTTCATGCAATTCAGCTTTGTGTAACCACCTAAATTCTCCTTTTAATCCTTTTTCGGTCCGAATATTCTGTGCAATACTATATTTTCAAAAAATTTAAGACGTTGCTCATCCCTTAATGTAAGTCAAACACATTCCCTTCTATATCGATATCATCAAAATTGTCGTTTTTGCAACTAACCATATATTTTGTCTTATCCGTATTTATCTCAAGTCCTAGTTCTTTACCAGCTTCCATCAACGTTGCTGTATTTAGTTTTATTGTTTTCATGTCTTCGCTTAACAGTACCAAATCATCAGCATACCCAAGCACGGATATTGTTCCAGCCAGGCTCAAACCTTTTTCGGTATGTATCACCTCTCTAATGGCATGTTCTAATGCCAAATTAAATAGCACAGGTGAAAGAGAATCACCTTGTTTTAAGCCTGAACGAATCTCAAATTTCTCTGATAAATAATAACAGATTCTAAATTTATTGAGTGTTTCCGTCAAGCACATCCTAACTAGATTCACAAATTTTTTAGAGGTCCTCTGCCCGATTAGAATATTATAGTCTCTAGCGGTCAATAGAATCGTACGCCTTTTTGAAATCAATATACAGCTGGTGAACAACATCATTGTACTCTAATATTTTTCGTAAAGAAAATATTTGATCAATAGTCGAATGGTTCCTCCTAAACCCACATTAGTAGTCTACGATAATTTCCTCGCCGTATTCCGTGATTCGATTAGTTAAGATTAACGTGAATATTCCATAACATACCTGAGTGAAATTCCTCGATAGTTATTACAATCCTTCCTCGGGCCCTTTTTGTGAATCGGAATAAGAATGGATTCTTTTCATTCTTCAGGCAATTTCTCATTTTCCCATATCTTTTTAACAAAAAAATGTATTTTATAAACTCCAGCTTTCCTGCATTAATTAGTTCACTAGGAATGTCATCGGTCCCCGCTGCTTTATAAGTTTTTAATTTTCCGATAGCTATTTCAACTTCCTCTTTAATTGGTTCTTCTATTAACGATTCGGCACTCTGGTGCTCTGAAGGACACAGATCATTATTTCTCATATTTAAAATATAGTCAAAGTGTTTCTTAAACTTACTCAATATGTCAAGATTAGTGAGGATATTGTTAATTTAATCTCTAATTCCAGTTGATACAGCTCCTGAACATTTACATGATTTATTTATTCCTTTGTACATGTCTCTTACGTTGTTTTCGATTCTATTGTTTCTATATCTATTATTTTATTTTTAAGATACTCACTTTTTTTATTTTTGAACAATTTAGTAGTTTCATTCTTTAAGGCCCGGAGGTATTCAAGATTGTTTTCGCTAGGATTATTTAGAACTTTTATTTTAACGGATTTTCTTTTTTCGCACATGTTTAAGTAATCTTCATCAAACCACGGTTTGTTATTTTTATTTTCCTTTTTTCCAAGACACAAGTTACCGGCTTCTTCAATATTATTCCTGATCCCTACCCATAACCGATCTATATCATCCTCTTCAGAAGCTTCTAAAGCTAAAAATTTATTCTTAACTTCAAGTTTGAATTGAGTTTTAATTGATGGATTTTTTAATTTTTCCAAATTAAAATTCTCGGAATCGAAACAGTTTTCTTTACTCTTTTTTTTATTAAGTTTTTAATGAAGTTTCGCGATTACTAATTCATGATCTGACCCACATTCCACCCCGTGATATGACCTTACCTTAATTATACTAGTTTGCCACTTATGTTGTATCAAGACATGATCGATTTGACTTCCTGTTTGCGAATCAGGTGATGTCCAAGTATATTTGTGAATATCCTTATCCTTATGTTTAAATGCAGTACTTTTAATTATCAGGTTTTTTGAGATAGCAAAATTTATTAGTCGAATTCCATTACCATTACTATATTCGTGCAAACTTTCTTTACCGATCGTCGGAAAATAAAACTAATCCCTTCCCACCTTTGTATAAGCGTCCCCTAACATTATTTTCATGCAGCTCTGCGGTAGTTTATCATATACCCACTTCAGATTATCATAAAATTCGCATTTGGCTCGGTCGGACAGTGTATGTTTATCAACGCGATTTTAAACTAACACCCCTGGAATATGGCCACTGAAATCCTATCACTAAAGAATTGTATGTTAGAGCGGATAGAAATCTATTCCTAATAAGAAAACCGGTATCTAAACTATGATTTCCGCTTACTCCGTACCAAAAATTGTACTTACCTTCCCTTATAGATCCTTTCCCTGGCCAATGAACCTCTTGCAATGCTACGATATCTAAATTGTACCCATTAACATCATTTGTGACCGATTTTAACCCACCTGCTGTATTCAAATTCCTTACGTTTCACATCGTTATACTTAAATCTCTAGTTTTCAACTTGTATAATTAATCCCCTAAAGCAGTCTCCACCCTGAGACCCCAACAGGGGACTAATTTGCTTACGAGTTTTACTTTATGAGGATCCATGAATGTTTGGTATTTTGTGAACAATAAATATGTGAGTAGGGCGTTCAATCCTACGTCACACTCTCCAGCAAGTCTGGAGGACCCCTTTGTCTAGCAAGTCTGGGAGGACCCCTCTCATTGTTGGACAGCAAGTCGATCGGACCTAGCCGTGAAGAACTTATTTGTTTAATGAAACAAAAAGTAATTGATTAAACGATTCAGGGATGTTGTGTTATCTTTTCTGAATATGTTTGAAATAAATTCAATCTTCAGACCTTTTTAATAAATCTGTGAGAGAACTTACGAGAGAATATAACAGCAACATTGTATGGAGCAGGAGTGATGATGGCAGTGAGTTGCACATGTTTAGAGATTATAATCCTTTTTTAAAGGTTTATTTTTTTACTGATTTAGTAATGTATTTCTTAGATAAATAAATAATTAATAATTTATGAATCTAAAAAATAAGCAATTTTTTTATCAAACTTTTATTTAGGCATTTTCCTAATTTGTTTTTGTTGGCTTCTAGAATATGTTATCAATTAGTCTTTTAGTTATATTTAAAACACTACCTAAATTAAAACAATATTTTTTCAA